TGACACCAATGATGAGGCACTATTCCTTCTACTGAATACCAATGATGGGTGCACTATTCCTCCCACTGACACTAACAATGGGGCACTATTTCCTCCACTGATACCAATGATGGGGCACTATTCCTCCAACTGACATCATAGATGGGTCACTACTCCTCCCACTGAAATCAATGATAGGGCACTATTCCTCCCACTGAAATCAATGATAGGGCACTATTCCCTCCACTGACACCAATGATGGGGCACTATTCCCTCCACTGACACCAATGATGGGGCACTATTCCTCCCACTGACACTAACAATGGGGCACTATTTCCTCCACTGATACCAATGATGGGGCACTATTCCTCCAACTGACATCATAGATGGGTCACTATTCCTCCCACTGAAATCAATGATGGGTACTATTCCTCCCACTGATACCAATGATGGGCACTATTCCTTCCACTAATACCAATGATGGGACACTATTCCTTCCACTGATACCAATGATGGGGTACTATTCCTTCCACTAATACCAATGATGGGACACTATTCCTTCCACTGATACCAATGATGGGGTACTATTCCTCCAACTGACATCATAGATGGGTCACTATTCCTCCCACTGAAATCAATGATAGGGCACTATTCCTCCCACTGATACCAATGATGGGGTACTATTCCTTCCACTAATACCAATGATGGGACACTATTCCTCCCACTGATACCAATGATGGGACACTATTCCTCCCACTGATACCAATGATGGGGCACTATTCCTCCCACTGAAATCAATGATAGGGCACTATTCCTCCCACTGACACCAATGATAGTTCACTATTCCTCCCATTGAATCCAGCGATGGGGCACTATTCTTCTCACAGACATCAGTGCAGGAGCACTATTCCTCCCACTGAAAACCAGCGAAGGGGCACTATTCTTCTCAAGGACACAAATAATAGGGATTCCTCCCACTGACACCAACAATGGGGCACTATTCCTCTCATGGACACCAGTGATGGGACACTTTTCCCACTGATACCAATTTTCTGGGCATTGTTACTGATACCAGGATATTATCCACTGCCACTGGCCACACAGTCTAAAGTCTAGAGAATAGTAAACTGGCCCTTTGTTTAGAAAGTTCAAGACCCCGGCACTAACAAATTGAAGACAAACTCCAGCTCACATTGCAGTTATAGCAATAGTTTTTTTTTTCTTTTGGGATAAAGGTTATACAAAATTTGATCACTGTAAGCACCCCTGTCAGTGGTAAATGGTTTGTCTCACCCTCTAACTGCCACATTTGCACGGGAGCTTGTTCTGTTGAAAAACAACAGCCTTACTGGCTGGATCACCATGTGAAACTAATGCAGCCATCACATCTAAAAATTGGTAAGCTGGAATAAAATACATGCTAGTTTAGGATTTAAAACAACTGTAGCCAGCCTGGTTTCTGTTTTTGTTTTTTACAATATTCAGATTTTTGGTGTTCCCCTAAACTGAGGACATCATCTGCATCTCCCTGCTACTGTTGAGTGTTCCCCTCTCTCTCTCTGCTCTCTCTCTCTTACTGTCCCTCCCCTGTTCTCTCTCCCCCTCCTCTCTCTCTCTCCCTCTCCCTCTCTCCCTCTCCCCCCCCCCCCTCCCCCTCTCCCCCCCCCTCTCTCTCCCCCCCCCCTCTCCTCTCCCTCTCCCCTCTCCCCCCCCTCCCTCCCCCCCTCTCTCTCCCCCCCTCTCTCTCTCTCCTGTTTAGTATCTCAATCCCCTTTTAGAATTCTCCCTCCTGGGCTTTTATTCACTAATTTGCTCCCCCATGAGCCCAAAAAGGAACTCCCCCTCTCATACATTCAGTTATACACAGGCTACCAGCAAGCAAGCATTCGGGCAATTACCTCCATATGCCACTAGAGGGTCATGGATATCTCTGTAAATGTATATTTGTAAAATAAAGATTTTATATAAATAAACAGATCTGTTTGTAAACCTGCAAACTTATAAAAAAAATCAAAATAAAACTGGCCTCTCTTACCCTAAATTTATTCTAACATATATGTTTTCTGCCTCCTTAGGTTTTTTTTTCTTTGATTGAGCAGGGAGCGGGCACATTTGTAATCAGTGTGTCCATGCCTGTTAGACAGAAGCCTGTTAGACCGGGCTTGTCGGAAATGTTTTCTCGATCAGCTGAATGATAGAAATCACTAGATTCCCCCATCCACACTAAACATATAAGTGGTTGAATCTCCTCAATGCCTGCTATTGTATTCTGACAGCTGGCAGCCGGCTGTCAGAGCATCCGAACTGTGCTTGCATCTAATTGGATGCAGGTGCTGTTTGGCCTAGAATTTTCCACCTGGATCCTTCGACAACAGATGATTGAAATATTGAATTTTGTCAATCCAGGTGGCGTAGACAGGGCCACTCATGGAGCTAATTTCAGCTGATTCATCAGTAATCACAAAAATAAATGTTCAATGCATGCTTTACATATAGTTAAGTGGCTGGTCTCAGGTGATAGAAGGAGATGAAACAAATCCTCCTACATAGGTTGTACCTGTTTATGCAGTCTTCTCTTTCTACATCCATTCAAAGTACCAAATTTGTAAAGCCTGTCTGAGCTGTCAGAAAACAGGGGGTGTAGAGCTGATATTACACACTGCAGAGCCCAGTGAGATAAGCTCTGAGAGCTGATTGGAGGGAAGGTACACACACCCCTTCACACAGCACACAGGAACAGAGCTGATACTGTCAATCACTGTGTGCTAGAATCCCTCCCCTGCAGGGGCAGGCTGACCATTTGGAAACTCGGGGACTACCCGAGGGCCGGGGGCATGAGATGCCGCTGGAACCTTTTTCATAGGATTTTTTTAGTTTGGGCAAGGGCACAGGGACACCATGATTCCCTATTGCTCAGGGGCCCCATGAGTTGTCAGTCCGCCCCTGCTCCCCTGTCACCTTTTTTCTCTTAGTTTCAGGAAAACTTGTCAGAAGTGATTCATGCGGATAGCAGAGGAACAAAGTAGCAAACAGAAATGTCACTTAGTGCTCTTAAAGTGTTACTAAACCCACAATAGTAAAATCAGTCTGTATATGCAGTAAAGCATGCTTGTTATACTCACTGTGTCTATGGAACCTAAGGGGTTAATCCTCTGCATTGTGTAAAAAGGCTGTTTGGTCCTGACGTCTCTGATCCTCCCCTTCTTCCAGTGCCCCCCTTTTATCTTCTGATAGGACAAATTGTGTGGAGTCACTCTGCATATGCTCAGTTTGGTGTGTATTGCTAGAACGGTTGTTTTTTTTTTTCTTGGGAGAGTGCATGAGATCAGCACAGGGCCAATCAGCACTGTCCAGACAGAGGTCAGGGGTTCTGCATCCTCCTAGAGCAGAAAGAAAATATATATATATATATATATATCATATTTTGTAGGCGCTATAACTTTTGCACAAACCATTCAATATACACTTATTGGGATTTTATTTTACCAAAGACATGTAGCAGAATACATTTTGGCATACATTTATTAAGAAATTTGATTTTTTTTATATGTTTTACAGCAGAAAGTAAAAAATATTGTCATTTCTTGTTCAAATAATTTTATTATTTTAACATGGAACAGTACAAAATAATAAGCAAAAGTATGGGTCATTGAAGGAGTACATTAATTGCACAGTAAGAAACCCAATAATACAAGGTCAGGCATCACTAATAAAGAGGACTATCAAATGGCAGTTAAGGCCTAACAAAATGGGGAGGGGGGGGGGAGGGAAGGTAGGAAGGGGCATACGGCTGCACGGTAGGGGGAGGAGGGGGAGAACTGCAGTATGGTTAAGGAATGGTACTGTCAAAAAAAAAGACGCAGATTACGGATTGAGAAGGGAGTCATCAAAATTGGATGGGAGGAAATGCTCTACCCAGGGATTCCAAATCTTCTTGAACTTAGGGATGGAATCTAGGATAGTTGCTTCTATTAAAAATATTGTCATTTATATAAAAAAAAAAACCAGAGGTCATCAAATGCCACCAAAAGAAAGCTCTATTTTTGTGAAAATTAGATAGAATTTTCATTTGGATACAGCATTGCATGACTGCGCAATTACCAGTTAAAGTAGCACAGTGCTGGTCATGAAGGGGGTAAAACTTTGTGGAGCACAAGTGGTTAATATGCTTTGCTGCATTCCTTCCTGTACTCCGTATCCTGTTTACAAGGGCAGCTCTATTTTCAAAATCGATTTTTAGAGACAGAGTCACTTTGCAATAAGAAGTCAACATTTGTGCTCACTACAATTATATTCATTTTCCTTTAAGAAATCTTTTTTTAATCATACAGTGAAAATGGTGCAGATCAAATAACCCATCCTCAGCAACATATCTGAACGCATCTATTAAGAACCCTTCCATTTTAATATGTTTTGAAATCTTCTTGGTCATCGAACCATTTATAATTATGTGTTTTCTTTAGTGAGGCAATGTTTAAACACACAATTCATTCTGATTATGTATGGGTAAGTGGCTCAGAGTAATTGTCGCCTAAAGTTACACAGACTAAAACTGCGCTGTTATCTCCAAACATTATTCATTTACATCTAATTAATGTGTTACTGAAAAGATAATGACAAATACTGTACATTTACCTTTTTTTGTAATGAGCATTAATACATGTCCACTTCTAGGAAAAAAAAATTCAAAGGAATAAATAATTCACCAGAGTAAATGCAATATTTAATGAGCAAATATCCATTTAAACTGCAGTACAGCCTAGAGCGAAATGGCTTAAGACTTTGGACAGTTTAAGCTTGACAATGTTCCTGCATTAAATGGAGGATATAATAGAAAATAAAATAATGTGCCTTTCCAGAATTCAGCACCTCATTGTCAGAAGTGTGTCTAATGCAGGTTTAATGATAATGACTAATCTCATAACTAGGTCTGCTTTAATTCAATATAGCAGGAGTCTTCAAACTTTCTAAACAAAGTTACATTTTACAGTCATTCAAAATTGAGGGGGGGAGAAAGTGGCCAGTGGGTATAGAAAATGCCTGGCATCAGTGGGAGTATACAATGCCATCATTGATTTTAGTAGGAGGAATAGTGCCCCATTGTTGGCAATAAAGGAAAAATGAGTGCCCCATCTTTGGTGTCTGCGGGAGGAATGGTGCCCCATCTTTGTGGTGTCTGTGGGAGGAATGGTGCCCCCATCTTTGGTGTCTGCGGGAGGAATGGTGCCCCATCTTTGGTGTCTGTGGGAGGAATGGTGCCCAATCATTGGTGGGAGGAATGGTGTCTGCTGGGGGAGGAATGGTGCCCCATCATTGGTGTCTGTGGGAGGAATGGTGCCCCATCTTTGGTGTCTGTGGGAGGAATGGTGCCCAATCATTGGTGTCTATAGAAGAAATGGTGCCCCTCGTCATTGGTGTCTATGGAAGGAATGATGTCCCATCATTGGTGTCTGTGGAATGAATGGTGCCCCATCATTGGTGTCTGTGCCCCATCATTGATGTCAGTGGGAGGAACAGTACCCCATTATTGGTGTCTATGGGAGGAATGGTGCCCCCATCATTGTGTCTGTGTCTGTGGGAGGAACAGTACCCCATCATTGGTGTCTGTGGGAGGAATAGTGCCCCACCATTGATATCTGTGGTGGGGAGGAACAGTGGAGGCCATATAATTGGTCTCTGTGGGAGGAATGGTGCCCCATCATTGGTGTCTGTGGGAGAAATGGTGCCCAATCATTGGTGTCTGTAGGAGGAACTGATAAGACACGTAAAGGACCACACCCATCATTGGTGTCCATGGGAGAAATGGTGCCATATAATTGGTGTCTGTGGGAGGAATGGTGCCCCATCATAGGTGTCCGTGGAAGGAATAGTGCCCATCATTGGTGTCCATGAGAGGAATAGTGCCCCATCATTGATGTCCATGAGAGGAATAGTGCCCCATCATTGGTGTCAGTGGGAGGAATAGTGCCCCATCATTGATGTCAGTGGGAGGAATCATGCCCCATCATTGGTGTCAGTGGGAGGAATGGTGCCCCATCATTGGTGTCTGTGAGAGGAGTGGTGCCCCATCATTGGTATCTGCAGAAGGAATGGTGCCCCGTCATTCATCATTGGTGTCTGTAGAAAGAACGGGCCCCTTCATTGGTGTCAGTGGGAGGAATGGTGCCCCATCATTGGTGTCTGTGAGAGGAGTGGTGCCTCTTCATTAAATCTAGATAGCTAGATTTGTGCTATTGTATGTGTGTAGTATTCACCGTGTTGTATGTTAGTAAGTGAAACTGTTTATTGCAATAGAGTTTATAGGCAGTTCCTGTTATTCTAGCTAAACTTGACCCTTCTGGTCTGGGACTCTGTGGCTGGTTTCAGCTTAAGGCTTGATAACCAGCATAGGCTAGAGCCAGGGTAGGCTTCTGTGGCCACGTCGGGATCATAGGCTTAGAGATCTGAATGCGTGTCAGATTGAAAACTGTTAGGAAGGGGAAAAAGCGCAGAGTGGATAGGCTAACTCTGAGTTCTAGTGCCACACCACAGTTCCTGCCAGTGAGAAGCTCCATTCCAGGCTGGTTGATCAACAGTTGGAGACTCTCCCTGTGACCGCTTGTCTTTATGTCTCTACCACAAGGCAGACATCTATCATCCTCAGGGGCCACTGCAACTGGACTTTTCTGCAACATTCCCCTGGAGGTATCTCTGTTAAAATAAACAATAAACCTTTTTAAAAAATAAAAATAACAAACATGGTATAATTACCTGCTCTGTGTAATGGTTTTGCACAGAACATCCCAAGTCCTCCTCTTCTGGGGTCCACCACGGGCGCTCCAGGTCCCTCCTCTTCGGCGAGTGCCCCCATGGAAAGTCGGACTCACTCCCGAGCCTTCCTGTCTGTGTCTATTGACACATACTGGGCGACTCGTCCCCACCCCCGCCACATCATTTATTTGACAGCAGTGGGATCCAATGGCTCCCGTTGCTATCAGTAGACCCAATGAGGAGGGAGACAGCAGCCAGAGGAACTGCTCTCATACACATCACTAGATCAGATTGGCCTCAGGTATTAATAAGCAGGGAGCTGAGGGATCCTGCAGCACAGACGTTTTTTACATAGAATGCATTAAGGTAAAAAAAAAGCTTATGCTTTTAGAGCCACTTTAGTAATTATGCAATATATAAATTATTGTGGCACTCCACTGATGAACATATATCAAATATATATAATCTCCAAACCTATAAATCTTTTCAAAGGTTCATAAATATCTCTTCCAAAATTTTAAGCAAAGTGTCCATAGTACATCCGTGACCACACTCTCCTTCCAGTGATGTGGACAAACCAACTTATACTTTATTCTTTAATGTGTTGTTGTGACAACCATGCGTGCACCTTCATCATTTGTGCTCTCACCTGATAGATATGACCAAACCATTAAGTGAGGTCATAGCTTGTGTCTCCCTAACGGTCTGATTATGTCAGTATTTCTGTGCTCAAAGCGGTAAATTGTTTTCATGGAAATATGTTGTTTTTTTATTGTAGGCCTGTAATTCTTAGGAATAACTCACTGAAATCTGTCCGAACAAGAGTCTAGTAAACATCCCGGGTATGAAAACATTTGAAACACGAAATCATAAATTATAATATAATAAATAATCATAAAAATAATATAATAATAATAAATTTAATTCAATAATATAATCAAACCAAAAACACTGAAATATAGCGCCAAGTTCGCACATTGTTGAGCAAAGTCGCAAAATGTTTTCAGTGTCTGATGACGAATTTCCCCACGAATCATTATCACTCAATTCTGCAAGTGGTTCTGATTTACTATCGCTGTTCTCTAGCTGATCTAAAACCGCTTTTGACCTAAAGGGACGCTTTTTGGATGCCATGGATATTTCTCAGTTTCCAGGCAGAAAGAACAGTAAAAATACAGGCAGGGCACAGGACAAAGCACTCGGGACAAAATGTATGTGAAATGGTTTGATACAGTAATGTTATACTATCAGATTTTAGTGTATTTAGTGAATGTCAAATTTTAACATTTTTTAAATTCCTGCCAGTTCCGTCCCCTGTACATCCCGACGCTCGCAGGGAACGGAATCACGAAGCTGGATGCTGGAGGACATGGCCAGGGACACTGCAGAGGGGACATCATGGGACCGCAGGACAAGGTAAGCGCTGTAGGGATCACGGGGCAACGCTGCAGGGTAATTCCGAGTGTAGCTCGGGGTTACCACTTCTGGTACTGAAAGCAAACAGACGGAATGACAGTGGACTGGGGTTCAAGTAAGGGAGGGCTGTGAAAGGGACTGGGGTGCAAGGAGGGGGGCTGTGGAGGAGACCGGGTTGCAAGGAGGGGGGCTGTGAAGTGGAATGGGGTGCAAGGGGGGGGGGCTGTGAAGTGGAATGGGGTGCAAGGAGGGGAGCTGTGAAGTGGAATGGGGTCTAAGGAGGGGGGCTGTGAAGTGGAATGGGGTGCAAGGAGGGGGGCTGTGAAGTGGAATGGGGTCTAAGGAGGGTACTGTGAAGTGGAATGGGGTTCAAGGAAGGGTGGCTGTGAAGGGGACTGGGGTTCAAGGAAGGGGGCTGTGAAGTGGAATGGGGTGCAAGAAAGGGGGGCAGTGAAGTAGACTGGGGTGCAAGGAGGGGGGCTGTGAAGTGGAATGGGGTCTAAAGAGGGGGGCTGTGAAGTGGATTGGTTTCTAAGGAGGTGGGCTGTGAAGTGGAATGGTTTCAAAGGAGGGGGGCTGTGAAGTGGGATGGGGTGCAAGGAGGGGGATGTGAAGTGGAATGGGGTCTAAGGAGGGTATCGTGAAGTGGAATGGGGTTCAAGGAAGGGGGGCTGTGAAGGGGACTGGGGTTCAAGGAAGGGGGCTGTGAAGGGGACTGGGGTGAAGAAAGGGGGGCAATGAAGTAGACTGGGGTGCAAGGAAGGGAGGGCTGTGAATTAGACTGTGGTGCAAGGAAGGTGGGGCTGTGAAGGGGACTGGGGTGCAAGGAATGGGGAATGAGATGCAAGTAAGTGGGGTGGAGGGTTATAAAGGGGACTGGGGTGCTAGGAAGGGGGGCTGTGAACGGGACTGGGATGCAAGGAAGAGGGTGAAGGGGTGACAGAAGACACTGATGTGAAGGAGAGGGGGATTGTGATGTGAGGTGGGGCTGAGGACACTGATGTAAAGGGTGGGAAGAGATATTTATAAATCTTTGACATTGATGTAAAGGGTGGGGGGGTCTGTGATGTAAAAAGGGGGGCTGTGATGTGAAGGGGGGCACAGAACATTTAAGTAAAGGAGCTGCTGTGATGTAAAATGGGGGAACTTGGATGCAAAGGGGGGCTGTGATGTAAAGCAGGTACTGTAATGTAAAGGGAGGTGCTATGATGTAAGTTGGGGGTTCTGCAATGAAAAAGGGGGCACTGTGATATAAAGGGGTACTGTGATGTGAAGAGGGCTGTGATGTAAAGGGGCAACTGTAATGTAAAGGGGGAAGGATATGTGAGGAAACCAAATCATAACACAAACATGACACTCGGACCTCTGCTGGATGAAAATTATAATGACCGGACCTCCATGAATTTTAATTCAGTATCCCTGCTGTATATACCTTACCCGAGTATATGCGCACAATCAGGGGCGGACTGACAACTCATGGGCCCCCCGGGCAATAGGGGATCATGGGGCCCCTGTGTCCTTGCCCAAACTCAAAAAAGCCTATGAAAAAGGTACCAGGGGCATCTCATGGGGCCTCTTACTGACCCTGGGCCCACGGGCAGTGCCCAAGTTTCCACATGGTCAGTCCACCCCTGCGCACAATTCCACCAGAACTCATACTGAGCCCTTTGCTGATAATACCTGTCTGTACATTGGATGCATGGACTGTTCTTCATCTCTTCCTATGTAACGCTTGCATCTATATGCGTATGATTATAGGTATATGCTGCTTGTAATTGTTTTCTTTTGCTCCCAATTTGAGTACTGATTAATTGATTGTGTTTTTCCGTTCAGGGTTACCTAGGTGGGTGTTTGATTTCTCCCACCTACTCTTGGAAGAAGCTTCCAGAATATATAGCAAGGAAAATCAAATGCCCAGTATGAATAATTATCATGCCCCAGCCAATCCCTGGAAGGAGGCATCCAGAAAGTGGCTGGGGAGGTGATAAATGTTTGGGAGACTTATCAAGAGTATTCTTTTCCACCGCCAGGAAGGTTCCAGTTCTCTTGGGGCTCCTGCCCCTGAAGGCAGATTTAATGTGTCAATGATTGCAATCTGGGCTTCAGCAAAGAGCTAGACTGAGGGTATGGAGAAGATTGCAAAGAGGATTTTTTTTCTACAATCTGGGCTGCAGATGCTGGGCTGAGGGCCTTGAGAAGTCCCGGTCTGGAGAAGGGTCAGTTATCTTCCTCACTGAGCATGCATCTCCCGATGGAAGCTGAGTGTCAGATGGCAGAGAGGTCCTGGGACACTGAGCAGGACCTAATGTGGGACTTTCATGTGTGACTGCAGTTATAAAGATTTACCGTAGTTTAAAGATTATTTTATTGATTACTGATCTCATTGTAGAGTATCCTGTGACCTTAAACCCCCCTCCTGTTTCAAGTTCTTCAGCAATAAATTATAAAAAGACACCCCTAAACTAGAGATGTGCATGTCAAAAAATGTTGTTTCGTTTCGCATTTGTTCGATAAGTTATTCATTTTGTTTCGTCATATGTGTTATGTTAGAATGATCGTTTTCAGAATTTGTTTTGTATATTCGGTTTGTTATTTTCAGATCAATTTGAAATTTTCTGAATTTGAAGTTGAAAATTAATTTGAAAATGGATTTGAATTTAAAAATTATTTTGAATTCGAAATGGAAACATATTGCAATACATACCGTAAGGTATAAAAGTGAAATTAGATGATGATTCCTACTTAGGCTGCTTTATAGAATAGAAAAGAATGGAATAAAATAGAATAGAATACAATAAAACAAAATAGAATACAATGCAATACAATAAAACAAAATAGAATAGAAAAGAATAGAATATAATACAAGAAAATACAATACAATAACACAAAATAGAATAGAATAAAAATGAATAGAATAAAAAAAGAATAGAAAATAAAGGCATAGAATAGAAAAGAATAGAACAAAATAGAATAGACTAGATACAAACAAATTAGCATTTCCGAAGATGGCTGTATTTGTTCTATTCCATTCTTTTATTTTCTATTATATTCTTTTTTTATTCCTTTATTTGTTATTCTATTCTATTCTGTTTTAATCTATTCTGTTCTAATTTATTGTGTTCTTTTCTGTTCTATTCTATTTTTTCAATTCTATTTTATTATATTCTATTCTTTTCTATTCTATTCTATAAAGCAGCCTAAGTAAGAATCATCATCTTATTTCACTTTTACACCCAGCTATTTTTATTGCAATATGCTTCCATTTTCAAATAAATTTTCAAATCAAACTCAGTGAATTTGTTTCTTTATAATTTATTTCAGATTAGTTGAAATTTGTTATCATTGTGATTCAGGAATTTGGATACATTCGAATCTCCAAATAGTGAAAATTTTGACCAAATTTTGATTCATAACAAAACAAATTGCACGTGTCTACCCTAGACTGAGTCATTATTATCAGCATGAATGGAACTGTGTCATGACTGGCAGCCTCTGTACTTCTTTGGGAAACTTGTGCATATTCACTGGTGGTAAGTGCTACACTTGTGTGCATTCCCTCCCAGTTCCTTTTTTGCTCTGCAGCCAGGGCTGAGAACAGCGGTGATGTTACTCCCTGGGTCATATGACAGTGTTTGACTGCTCTGCCTGAGCACCATCACAGAGGAGCAGGTCAGATTCTCCTCCATAAAATCTGGTAGTGAGCTGTAAGTTGCTATACGTGAGTGCAGGTAAGGTTAGTATATGGGGGTTTGGGGGGTGATAAGCCTGTTACTTTAAAGTGTTACTAAACCCCGGAACCTGCATTCACTATATCTGGTCTCCCCGGACCCTGCATTCACTATATCTGGTCTCTCAGGACCCTGCATTCACTATATCTGGTCTCCCCAGACCCTGCATTCACTATATCTGGTCTCTCAGGACCCTGCATTCACTATATCTGGTCTCTCAGGACCCTGCATTCACTATATCTGCTCTCCCCGGACCCTGCATTCACTATATCCGGTCTCCCCAGACCCTGCATTCACTATATCTGGTCTCCCCGGACCCAGCATTCACTATATCTGGTCTCCCAGGACCCTGCATTCACTATATCCGGTCTCCCCAGACCCTGCATTTCACTATATCTGGTCTCCCCGGACCCTGCATTCACTATATCTGGTCTCCCCAGACCCTGCATTCACTATATCTGTCTCCCCAGACCCTGCATTCACTATATCTGGTCTCCTGGGACCCTGCATTCACTATATCCGCTGTCCCCAGACCCTGCATTCACTATATCTGGTCTCCCCGGACCCTGCATTCACTATATCTGGTCTCCCCGGACCCCGCATTCACTATATCCGCTCTCCCGGGACCCTGCATTCACTATATCCGCTCTCCCCAGACCCTGCATTCACTATATATCCGGTCTCCCAGGACACTGCATTCTCTATATCCGATCTCCCCGGACCCTGCATTCACTATATCTGGTCTCCCCGGACCCTGCATTCACTATATCTGGTCTCCCCGGACCCTGCATTCACTATATCTGGTCTCCCAGGACCCTGCATTCACTATATCTGGTCTCCCCGGACCCAGCATTCACTATATCTGGTCTCCCCAGACCCTGCATTCACTATATCTGGTCTCCCCGGACCCCGCATTCACTATATCTGTCTCCCACAGTACATACAACATGGAAGTGCAATTATTTTAGTAAATATAAAGTGCTAAATACCTTTTCTCATCAGAAGTTAGTGGAGTCTTGTAACTTCTATCAGTGTCCAGCAGAGCACTGATTAAAGCTTGTAGGAGGAGTTTTCTTTCTGCTCTAGGAGGATGCAGGACCCCTGACCTCTGTCTGGACAGTGCTGATTGGCCCTGTGCTGATCACATGCGCTCTCCAAAGAACAAAAAAAAACCTTTCTAGCAATGCACACCAAACTGACCATGTGCAGAGTGACTCCATTCGATATATCTTATCAGGAGATAAGAGGGGGGACACTGGAAGAAGGGGAGGATCAGAGAAGTTGGGATCAAACAGCCTTTTTACACAATTAAGTTAGAGGATTAGCCCCTTAGGTTCCACAATTAGTATAACAAGTATGCTTTACTGCATATACAGACTAATATTACTGTTGTGGGTTTAGTAACACTTTAAGTGGCATAAGCAAGGTAATGGTGCCTCTATAAAGTATAGATTGAGTTTTGTGAATTCGGTGATTTCTGTTAAGTTTTTAGGGTCTTTTCCAATTCCAACAATTTATGTGTTGTGTGTTTTACTATGCACTTCCACAAGACAGGCAGACCCCAGTGCCATGTTTTAACATTTAGGTGTCCGTTTATGAACCAGCGATAAATGATCGCTGCTCAGTTCTCCGGCATTCTCGGAGAACACAGTTCTCCTGTAAATGCAGTTTATGAAGCAATTCTCCGAAGGAAGGGAGAACGGTCTACAAACGCTGGAAAACGGCTGATTTTACTATAATCTCATGAGATTACAGTAAAAGATCAGTTTACTAAACCGAGGTAAATTATCTCTGCTTAGTTTGCGGTCCCTCCGATTCTCCAGCTCTGGGCTGGAGAATCTGGAGGGAGAACACAGATCTCCAGTGAAGGGCTGAACATGTTCTCCGCTGATCTCCTGAGTGTCATAAACTGTGAATGACCAGAGAATAGCTGCGATCCTCTGAATCGCAGCTATCCTCTGTGTCATAAACGGACACCTTAATGGTACTCAATGCATTAAAAAGCATTAGGCAACAGAACTGCACTGTAGTACAACACAAAGCACCTACCAACATCACATACTTTCCTTTCCTCTGCTCCCCTACACCTCTGTTTTACCACCAGGAATGAAGAAAAAAGCCCTGTACTTTCAGGCTTGACTCAATCCCGTCCCTAAAAAAGCACTGGTGCATGGGGATTGGCCATTCAACTGACTTAGGGGAAGATGCATGGAGATTGGCCATTCAGGTGACATAAGGAAGGTGCATGGAGATCGGCCATTCAGGTGACATAGGGGAAGGTGCATGTAGATCGGCCATTCAGGTGACATAGGGGAAGATGCATGGGGATTGGCCATTCAGGTGACATAGGGAAGGTGCATGGAGATTGGCCATTCAGGTGACATAGGGGAAGGTGCATGGAGATCGGCCATTCAGTTGACATAGGGAAGGTGCATGGAGATCGGCCATTCAGGTGACATAGGGAAGGTGCATAGAGATCAGCCATTCAGGTGACATAGGGGAAGGGAGAGACTACACAGGCTTGTGGAAATTCAAAGTTGTGACTCAAAGCTTACACGGGACTTCTTATCCATTGGATGAAAAAGTGGCAAAGGAACTAGGGGAAGGTGAGTACAGTCAGGTCCATAAATATTGGTACATCAACACATTTCTAACATTTTTGGCTCTATACACCACCACAATGGATTTGAAATGAAAGGACAAGATGTGCTTTAACTGCAGACTGTCAGCTTTTAGGGTATTTACATCCAAATCAGGTGAACAGTGTAGGAATTACAACAGTTTGCATATGTGCCTCCCACTTGTTATGGGACCAAAAGTAATGGTACAATTGGCTTCTCAGCTGTTCCATGGCCAGGTGTGTGTTATTCCCTCATTATCCCAATTACAATGAGCAGATAAAAGGTCCAGAGTTCATTTCAAGTGTGCTATTTGCATTTGGAATCTGTTGCTGTCAACTCTCAAGATGAGATCCAAAGAGCTGTCACTATCAGTGAAGCAAGCCATCATTAGGCTGAAAAAACAAAACAAACCCATCAGACAGATAGCAAAAACATTAGGCGTGGCCAAAACAACTGTTTGGAACATTCTTAAAAAGAAGGAACGCACAGGTGAGCTCAGCAACACCAAAAGACCCGGAAGACCACGGAAAACAACTGTGGTGGATGACCGAAGAATTCTTTCCCTGGTGAAGAAAACACCCTTCACAACAGTTGGCCAGATCAAGAACACTCTCCAGGAGGTAGGTGTATGTGTGTCAAAGTCAACAATCAAGAGAAGACTTCACCAGAGTGAATACAGAGGGTTCACCACAAGATGTAAACCATTGGTGAGCCTCAAAAACAGGAAGGCCAGATTAGAGTTTGCCAAACGACATCTAAAAAAGCCTTCACAGTTCTGGAACAACATCCTATGGACAGATGAGACCAAGATCAACTTGTACCAGAGTGATGGGAAGAGAAGAGTATGGAGAAGGAAAGGAACTGCTCATGATCCTAACCATACCACCTCATCAGTGAAGCATGGTGGTGGTAGTGTCATGGCGTGGGCATGTATGGCTGCCAATGGAACTGGTTCTCTTGTATTTATTGATGATGTGACTGATGACAAAAGCAGCAGGATGAATTCTGAAGTGTTTCGGGCAATATTATCTGCTCATATTCAGCCAAATGCTTCAGAACTCATTGGACGCTTCACAGTGCAGATGGACAATGACCCAAAGCATACTGCAAGAGCAACCAAAGAGTTTTTTAAGGGAAAGAAGTGGAATGTTATGCAATGGCCAAGTCAATCACCTGACCTGAATCCGATTGAGCATGCATTTCACTTGCTGAAGACAAAACTGAAGGGAAAATGCCCCAAGAACAAGCAGGAACTGAAGACAGTTGCAGTAGAGGCCTGGCAGAGCATCACCAGGGATGAAACCCAGCATCTGGTGATGTCTATGCGTTCCAGACTTCAGGCTGTAATTGACTGCAAAGGATTTGCAACCAAATATTAAAAAGTGAAAGTTTGATTTATGATTATTATTCTGTCCCATTACTTTTGGTCCCTTAACAAGTGGGAGGCACATATGCAAACTGTTGTAATTCCTACACCGTTCACCTGATTTGGATGTAAATACCCTCAAATTAAATCTGACAGTCTGCAGTTAAAGCACATCTTGTTCGTTTCATTTCAAATCCATTGTGGTGGTGTATAGAGCCAAAAATGTTAGAATTGTGTCGATGTCCCAATATTTATGGACCTGACTGTATATAGGGGGCTGGTGGGGCTGACATTAAAGTGAACCTATTGCTTTGTCCTGCATTGGCAAAGCCCAGGTTAACTTTAAAAAGCTTTACAGTAACATGAATAAACCTGGAGACGGTATTGAGATCAGAGAATTTCCAAAGAGCCTTATTTACAATTCTTGTTGTTCAGGCAAGAGGCACAAAATCCTTCAGCTGTACAATCAAGGAAACCTCCAGGGACAATCCTGTATGAATAGGCTTCACCTCAGCCCAGGTGAGCAGCACAGAGCTCTCTACAAACACTTACACAGCTGACTGGCTGACTCCAATTTGGAGAACAGCACCTAAATGTATCGTTCCCCGAGCCTTAAAAAGCTACTGATTAAGGATTGGTGTGGGACCTACACAGAGACGAGCTGTTGACAAGGGGCAGAAAAATTCCCTATAGCACTACAGAACTATCTGGTTCCATTTGGCAGCCAGACCAAATTTCATAATGCTAAATAAAAATAAAATAACAGCAGTTCTAAAACTTTCCTGAGAGAACCTCCGAGGCCACCTTTGCTGGCATCTTGTCTGGCTATAATACTGAAACTCCAACTTCAAGACTTTCTAAGTACCTGATGCAGAACAAGTATGTTGTATATAGGCCAGGAGTGTCTGAGAACAAGTATAAAGGCCAGAAGAGAAAAATCCCTATGTGCATTCTTCTTTTGAGTCAGTGATGTCAACATTGACAGCCCCTATGAATGTCTCAGAGAAGGTTTCCTTGAACCAGCCTTACTGCCAAAATTTAAATGGCTAAATACACAACCGGAATAAGTTCTGCCATGGAAAAACTTGATAGTGGACCCTCTGAGCTATCTGCACATTTGGAAAGAGTGTGAACCCTAAAAATGGGCAGAGGCAAATATTCTAAGTACAAGCCACCAAATCTCACCAGAGCACCCTGCAAGGATCAATGGGCTTTCCTGGTGGGTATACTAAGTTGGGGTCCTCAGGTACACTTCTGCACACAGCAGCTGAGTAGGGATAGAACAAGAGCATGGTACAGGTCATTTCAGAAACAGGGACATCCCAAAGGTCCTCACATCACTTCACATCACCCCCCCCCCACAGTAGTGTCCTCTGCCCCCCATAGCAGTGTCCTCTTCTGCCTTCACATCACCCCCCACTGTAGTGTCCTCTGCCCCTCTCCCTCCCACAGTAGTATCCTATACCCCCCCCCCCAGGCAGTGTCCTCTGCCCCCCTTCACATCACCTCCCCATAGCAGTGTCCTCTGCCCCTGCAGTAGTGTCCTGTAGCCCCCCCCCACATGACAGTGCCCTCTGCCCCTTCACATAACCCCCCCACTGTGCCCTCCCCAAAGCAGTGTCTGTCCCCCTTGACATTATCCCCCTCACTGTAGGGTCCTCTTCCCTCCCATAGTAATGTCCTGTACCCCCCAAAGTGTCCTCTGCCCCCCAAAAGCAGTGTCTTCTGCCTCCCCCTAAAGCAGTGTCCTCTGCCCCCCTCCTCCCCCAAAGAGCGGGAGGCAGCAAAGTGCTGGATGGAGGGCAGGACTGAGAGCTTACAAAGTTAACTTTTCATAATATCAAGCTGGTGATTGGTTGCTAGCCAACCAATCACAAGAGCATGGTTGGTTGCTAGCCAACCAATCACCTGCTGGTTAACTCAAACTGAGGCAGCTCCTGCCCCCACCCTCCATCCAGTACTATGCTGCCTCCCACTTTCCACTCTACAGTGAAGATGAGAGAGGCAGAGCCTGGGGGGAAGCAGGACTGTGTTCATGATCTACCTGTTGGCTGCACGCAGTGGACAGGTAGATCGCGATCAACAGCTTGCCAACCCTCGATCTAGACCAGTGGTGGGCAACCTTTTTTTTCAACTGAGCCAAATCTCGCCAAAACCATGATTGAAATTTATTTTGAGAGCCACATTTTTAAAACTGAAAATACATCTCCCATATAGTAATTCATCCCCCATATAGTAATTCATCCCCCATATAGTAATTCATCCCCCATAGTAATTCATCCCCCATATAGTAATTCATCCCCCATA